AACTCAAAGGCATTGATTCTTCTTCTGTCATCCTTAGTCATTGTCCAGCTCTCTGATGCATAGCAAGTAATTGCAAAGACCATGGCCTGAATCAGGTGCACCTTAGTCTCTAGACTGACATCATTGGTGTGATAGAGCAGGGGAAAGTTGCAAACTGCAATACCTCCATTTCCCAAAAGTAATGCCTGTGTTCCACACTAAAGTGGAAAGACTGTGGGATTAAAATCAGAACTTGTGACAAAGCAGGTCAGTTCTCCTCTCAAAAACCTTGGTTTCCTCCTGGAGCTCTGGTGGCCTAGTCCAGAGGATGCTGCTCTGTGGCAGTTCAGATCTACCAGAAAGATGGGCATCCTCCCCCTCTGCCGTTGGTTTATGGCTTCTGAACACCCACTCCACAGCAGTGACTCCCAGCAGTGACTCTACTTTTTGTTTTAATGGAGCCAGAAAGCCCTGCCCTACCACTTACTGAGGTATCATGAGCTTGTGGCCGGGAAAGCACTCTCCAAGTGGGGAGAACCACTGGTACATGGGAGTTGATGTCCTCACCACACATCTGGAAACTTACTTGTACCCTCTACAGAGAAGAGAACAATCTAGCCTTTCCAAGGCCTCTGGGACTGGGCACGTGCTCCCCAGAAAAGGCTTCTTGAGAACTTAGATAAATTCTTGGTGTGCTTATAGGTCACCCTGTTACTCTAGCTCTCTCCTCCTTGTCACCCGGCACTCTTCCCTCTGTGGAAGCAGGCTGTGTTGAGCCATGCTTACCCTCCAACCTGCCTTTTCCAGGGGAGACACTGGAAAAGTCCACGCTCAGATGCAGCTATGAAAAGACCATATCTATAAAGTTAGTCTTTGAGAGTTGTCTACTATAATCTGCAAGAACTGTATCTGTCCCATCTGATCCATTTATGCATAAGCCAGTGTTCCTTTAGCACTTGTTCTATGATAGGCCCTGTTCCGGTTAGAAGTATAGACCTGGTATGGTTATGGTCTAAGGACATCCAATAGTTTGAGCTCAGGGCACTTGAAGGGAAATAGAGGATAATGAAACTGGAATGATAACCAAACCTCCCTTACTAGGCTAGGGACTTTGGGCTTTACCTTAAAGGTAGTTGTTGTTGTTGGTAGGTGTCATCGAATCAAGTAGGACTCCTAGCAACCCTATGAACAAAAAAGATCTGAGCCTTGTTCTGTCTTGCTCCATCCTCACACTTCCTGACACATAAGAGCCCATTACAGCAGTCAACTTGTCAATCCACCTGACCAATAGTTTTTCCTCTCCTTCAGTGACTCTCTACCCTTCCTAGCATCATGTCATTCTCCAGGGACTAGCCCCTCCTAGCAACATGCCCGAAGTATGTGAGGTGAAGCCTCACCATTCTTGCGTGCAAAGAGCATTTTGACAGCACCCTTTCCAAGGCATATCTGCTCATTTTCCTGGCCATCCATGGGATGTTCAGGGCTCTTCTCCAATACCACAGCTCAAAGGTGTCAATTCTTCTGTCATCCTTAGTCAGATACATAGCAAGTGATCAGAAAGAGTATGGCCTGAATCAGACTGGAAGTCAGTTGAAATGAAGAAAAACAATAACAAACATCGTTTAATAATTAGAACATGGAATGTGCATAGTTTGAATGTTGGAAAACTAGTTTGTTAAAAGTTAAATGGAACATATGAACATCAACATAGTTTAAGACAGTAGGCATCCATTGAAGGCTTTTATGCAGAGTAATATGATTTAATCATCAGTCACATAGGCAAGAAATTAAGCTAAGACATAATGATGGTTTTGAGCCTACAAAGTGAGAGCAGACTCAATCAGATTTGGTGCTGATGAATTGAGATGGGTCAGAAGGAGAAATGGGCAGATACCAAGGGAGGTGGCATTAGCTCATGTGTGGAAGGTTACTGGGGTGTATGATTGAGTTTATTTTGGGATAAGTTGAGTTAGTCTCAGGCTCTGTGGAGCACCTTGCTGTGTGGTAGGGGACTGAACTCAGGACAGGTCTAGGTTAGGGTTAGAGCTCTGACAACTGTAGATGACGATAGAGCAGTGACCATGGCTAGAAACAGGAAGAGGGAGAGTAAAAAGGAAAGTGATTTCAATCAAACAACAACGAAAAGCTTGGAGAATAAAAGAAGAGTGGTGTGGTTCAGCTCCCTCAGGTTACAGATGAATAAACAGGTCCAGGGGAAAGTCTTGTACTTCTGACCTCAATAGTAAATGTCGTTTATCTATTCATCTATTTGTTTATGTTGTTGTTCAGTCCCATTGAGTCAGAACCTACTCATAATGGACCCTCCAGCGGGTTTTCAGAGGCAGTAAAATTACACTGGTCACAACTACACCAGGGACATCATTGCTGATGTCAGATGGATCCTGGCTGAAAGTAAAGAATACCAGAGGAATATCTATTTGTGCTTTATTGACTATGCAAAGGCATTTGACTGTGTGAATCATAACAAGTTACGGCTGACAGAAGAATGGGAGTCCCAGAGCACTTAATTGTGCTCATACGAAACCTATACCTGAACTAGGAAGCTGTTGTGCGAACAGAACAGGGGAGCACTGCATGGTTTAAAATTAAGAAGGGAGTTAGGTTATATTCTCAGTGTTATATTCTCTCTCCATTTAATCTGTTTGCCAAGCAAATTATTGGAGAAGCCAGATTCTGTGAAAAGGAATGTGGCATCAGGGTTGGAGGGAGACTCTTCAATAACCTGCGCTATAACGCAGAGTATGCAAAGGACACAACATTGATTGCTTATTGGAGAATTTGAAGTACTTGTTGCAGAAATCAAGGAATGCAGCCTTTGGTACAGATTGCATCTCAATGTCAAGAAAACAAAGATTCTGACCACTGAACCAATAGTCAAGATTGTGATGGATGGAGAGGAGATTGACACTGTCAACAGCTTCATCTTGCTTGGTTCCACAGTTAACACCCTTAGTACCAGCAGTCAGGAAATAAGGAGACACATTTGGGGAAATCTGCTGTTAGGGACCTCTCCAAATAATTAAGGAGTAATGATGTCAGTGTGAGGACTAAGGTGCATCTGATTCAGGCCATAGTCTTTCCGATCACTTGTTATGCATCCAAGAGCTAGATGGTGAATAAGGATGACAGAAGAATTGATGCTTTGGGGCTGTGGTGTTAGAGAAGAGTACTGAGCATCCCATGGATGGCTGAAAGAATGTGTGTGTGTGTGTGTGTGTGTGTGTGTGTGTGTGTGTGTGTGTGAGAGAGAGAGAGAGAGAGAGAGAGGGTGCAGCAGAAAGTGCTCTTTGGAGGCAGGAATGATGAGTCTTCGCCTCACATACTTTGGGCATGTTGCTAGGAGGGGCTATTCCTTGGAGAAGGACATGATGCTGAGAAGGATGGAGGGTCGGCAAAGGAGATGAAGACCTTCAGCCAAATGATTTATGTGGTGACTGCCACAGTGGGCTCTTGTGTGTCAGGAAGTGTGAGGATGGCACAGGGTAGGACAGGGTTCAGATCTTTTGTTCATAGGGTCACTGTGAGTTGTACTCGACTCAACAGCACCTAACAACAAATTGCACGGGAGGAGATTGCACATATTTCTCCTGTAGAGCAGCTGGTGGATTCAGACTGCACCCCTTTGAGTTGGCCTTGCAGTTCCTTTCCACTAAGCCACCAGAGCTCATTTGTATAGAAGTACTATTTGTATAGAAGTGCTTGGGTATAGTGAGCAATCAGTCATGGAGCAAAACACTCACAGAGCTGGCATTCCAGTGGATAGAGAAAGAGAAGAAATTATACAGATTTTGACAAATGGTGGTAAAAGGGATGGATAAAAATAAAGCTCTATAAAAGACTAAGGAATATTGGCAGGTGGCTGCTGTTCGATGTAGGGTGGTTTGGGAGGGCTTCACTAATAAGGTGACTTTTGAGCTGAGACCTGAAAGAAGCAAGCGAATGAGCCAGGCAGCTATCTGAGAGAAGAGGCGAGAAGAGCAAGGGCAGAGACCCAGAGGCAGGAGTGTGCTTTATGTTTTAAAGGAACAGCAAAGAGGCTGGTGTGACTGCAGGAGATTGAAGGAGAGAAAGACCAGACAGAGAAATACATGTTACAGGATCTGACTTCTCTGGACATGAGCACAGAAACTTTCCAAATATGGTTGTGCTAGTCCAGAGTTGGGCTGTGACCAGAGCACTGCCTGTGGAGGGACTGAGAGATGGCTGGGCTTGGGATATATTGGAATAGTAGAGCCAACAGAGTAGGCCAATGGGTCGATCTCTTTTTTCCCCTTTAAAATAGAAAAGCAATTGAGAATGACGTAATGGCTGCATAACATGATCAACATATATAATGTCACTGAAATGTACATGGAAAAAAACCATTGAAATGTCAGATTTTTGTTCTATATATAGCACTGTGGTGGCCAAGTGGTAAGAAGCTGTGCCGCAATACCAGAGGCACATGATTTGAATCCACCAGCTGCTCCATGCGAGAAGAATGGGCGGCCTTTGTGTGATTTACAGCCTCTGAAAACCTGCTGGAGTATCAGCTATGACTTGGTTCAGATTCAGCAGCATCCAACAACATATACATATCTATATCTATATCTATATCTATATCTATATCTACTCAGCACAGTAGCATACAACAGCGAAACAGCAATACCACAACAAAAACAAATTAGTAAAGAATAAATTAAGGAACCTAAGATTTTGGTTTGAGTAACAGAAAGGTTGGAGTTGCCATTTGGTAAGATTGTTGATGAGCAGGTCCGAGGGAAGAGATGGAGAGTTGAGTTTTGAATAGGTCTGTCATAGATGTCTGCCTTGGAACTTGAAGCAGGCAAAACCAATAGCACCAAGGGCTCCCACTTGAGCACATTCCCCTCCTTTCAGGTTCTGGGTCATTCTATCTCCTCTCTGAAGTTCCATCTTCCTGTCTTCTCTATACTTGTCAGTGACCTGGACTGATAACAGCCTCCCCACCTTGAGAACTGACCCCAGCTATCTGTCTCCAGGTCGTACACAGGGACCTCAAGCCCAGCAACATCCTATACGTGGACGAGTCTGGGAACCCTGAGTGCCTGCGCATCTGTGACTTTGGCTTCGCCAAGCAGCTCCGGGCCGAAAATGGGCTTCTCATGACACCCTGCTACACTGCCAACTTTGTGGCCCCTGAGGTGAGTGGCCTGTCCTCAGAGGACCAGAATCTTTCCCCCTTCTGAAGGCCCCACACTGACCTGAGGTGCTAGTTCTGGTTGCCGTGACCCAGACACCAAACACATGGCTGGGATCCCTATTATATGGGACCACTGTCCACTAGTCTCAGACTAACCTCCCTGCCAGGTGCTGAAGCGCCAAGGCTATGATGAAGGCTGCGACATCTGGAGCCTGGGCGTTCTGCTGTACACCATGCTGGCAGGGTGAGTGTCCTGGCTCCCTGGCTGTCCCTCCCAATTCCCTGCTCCTCTACCATGTTCTGAGAGGAATGGTGCTCATCTGATGGGCAAGGTTCAGCCCTGCCCTCCAGGGGCTTTGGGAGTAGAGACCTGGCCCTGCCTTTGGCAGCTCCATCCTGAGGAGGTGAATACCTCCTCTGAGGAGAAAGACATCACAGTCCCTACCCTCACAACTGAGACCAAAGCCTGTGCCTGTGTGGGCTTCTCCTCAGATACACACCATTTGCCAATGGGCCCAGTGACACACCAGAGGAGATCCTGACACGAATCGGCAGTGGGAAGTTCACCCTCAGTGGGGGAAACTGGAACACTGTGTCAGAAACAGCCAAGGTGAGTCTGAAGGCAGAGACTGGGGACATTGGGGAACACACCACATCTCGTCTCGGAGCTTTCAGCAGCTGATGAACACGTGGCCTCGTTCTTCCAAGTGGAATGTTCCACAAGTAATCCCTATTACTCTGTTTCTCCAAGGGGAAGATTCCCAGGCAGACCACCACCCACTCCCTACCCCAACTGAGTTTATCTCTTGGAGGTCTGTCACTGGGCCTTTCTCAGGGTACAGGGCTACCCGAGTGATGGTCCCTGCCTAGTGGACTGTATGGTAGGAGATACTAGTTTGTGTACAAGGAACAGAGACACCAAGCAGCAGAGAGGTACAGTCTGGTGGTTAGGGGGGTAGGCAGTGAAGGCACAGAACGGAGCAACTAACCGCACCAGGCAGAGACATAGGGCCTTCCAAAGGAGGAACCAGTTAAACTTTCAATAGTAATAACAGTTTCCAGTTATTGGGAATCTCTGTGCCAGGCAGAGCTCTTTATGAACATTGTAAGACAGGTTTGTCCCTGTTCTCAGAAGGAAAACGGAGGCTCAGAGAATCCAGGGCATTCAGTTGATAAATAGAGCTTTAGAACCTGACTCGACCTGACCCTGAACTTTTACCACCTTAGAAGTCTGCAGCAGCAAAGGCTCCTAGAAGGGAATGCACTGTCTAGTCTTGGGGAGACCGGAGAATCGCCCAGACTGTTGGCGAGGTCTTGGTAGAAGATGATAAAACCTGGTTGCCCTGCTGATTCCCTGTCGGTGGGGCATAGCTGCTGCTCCCCACTGACCTCTCCTACCAACCACTGTGCCCCTAGGACCTGGTTTCCAAGATGCTGCACGTGGACCCCCACCAACGCCTCACAGCTAAGCAAGTCCTCCAACACCCCTGGATCACCCAGAAAGACAAGCTCCCGCAGAGCCAGCTAGCTCACCAGGACCTGCAGCTTGTGAAGGTATGGCTACCCTCAGCTGCTGGGCCTCTGGGGGCTCAGACCAAGGTTCCTGTGGGCAAGGACGGGAGGGCAGGACCAGGAGACACTGTGTAATACCAGACACTGTCATATGGGAAACAGCTAGCCCACAGCAGTGTGAGCACTGCTCTCATGGGCCCGCAGTCTGCTGGGGAACATTGGCCCTGACCTGGGAAAGCCCCAGGACCAGTCAACACAAAGAGCCACAATCTCTGGTGGCCTAGTGATAAGAAACTGTGCTTCAATCCCAAAGGGGTGCGGTTTGAATCTGCCAGCTCCTCAGTGAGAGAAAGATGGGCAGACTCCTGCCGTAAAATTTTCTGCCTCTGGAAACCCACTAGAGGGTCAGCCCTGGGTTGGTTCCAACTCAACAGCACACAACAACAAGGCTGTATTTACAGTGGGGATATGTGGATTGTAGGATGAGGAGGTGGTCAGAACATAGGGAGGGGCTGGTCAACTGACCTCAGATCTTCCCTCTCAGGGAGCCATGGCAGCTACGTACTCCGCACTCAATAGCTCCAAGCCCACTCCGCAGCTGAAGCCCATCGAATCATCCATCCTGGCCCAGCGGCGGGTGAGGAAGCTCCCATCGACCACGCTGTGAGGGGCCGGTGTGTCCAGCCCGCAGGGCGGTGCTCGCTCACTGGAGGCAGCATACCTACCGGAGGAAGCAGGCCCAAGTCACAGGGCCGAGGGGAGCTGGAGTCCTGAGGGGCCTGAGAAGCAGCCAGCCCAGATCACCCCCAGTGAGGGTGTGAGAAGTGCCTTCTCCTTCCCCAGGATGGACTCTTCTCAGCTCAGGCTCTGCTCGTTGAAACTGATTCAAAATGCAAACTCTTATCTTCTTTTAAGGGAAAAAAAATATGGCATCAACCACCATGGATTATTTTTTTACAAGATCCATCTGCCTTTCTGGGAGCAGAAGTAGCCAGTGCAGCCCAGAAAGGGCACTGCGTCATACTCGTGGCTGATATCATCAGAGGACCTTGGTGAGGGTCCCCCACAATTGGCCATCCGCATACAGCTCTTAGGCAGCCCATCGTCTCCTTCCAGAGCCTTCAGCTGTTTAGAGCTCACTCTGGCCCCAGTCAGCTCCTTTTCCGTTCTGTTCTGGGGGGTCTGGAACTCCACTGTGCTAGAGGAGAAGACTGAGGCCCCACCGACCCCCAGCTCCAGGCACCAGCATCCGCATGGGGCCTGCCCCCAGGTCCCCTGCAGTCAGGTTGGGCTGCCCCAAAGGAGGACAGGAAAGCACTTTTTGGTTGACTTCTGTCGGGGTCTGCCACAAAACAGTCCACAGCAGGCCAGTGGGGCTGGCCAAAGGGGACAGTGGCTTTTTGTTTTGGTTTGTTTCCTTTTTTTCCCTCAGCTGGTAACTCAGGGTTCATCTGTCCATGGCCTTTCTAATAAACTTACAGTTGAGTTGAAACTTGTCCTCTACTTTTCATCTTTGAATTTTCCTTCTCTTATACTCTCAGATGTTGAAGATTTTTGACACTTGGCCCACCTGGTCCACCTGCTTGGAGGGCAGGTCATTTGGGGAATGTGTGAGAATCCTGCTGGGCCTTTCTAGCCTTTTCCTGCCAGACAACTCCATTATGGTCCTGGAAACAGTAAAAGTCAAGTCTCGAGCTCTGTGCCTGACCATTACAGCTTGTTTAACCTTAACTCTATGAAGTGGGTGCTATTATATTACTTTCCCGTGTCATAGATGATAAAAGTGTGATTCACAGGAATTAGAGTCAAATATTTTCTGAACACCTCTCTGGCCCTGCTCCAGGCTCCAGAGTTAGAGAGGTAGACATAGATCTTACCTCCCAGTAGGACAATGAGCAATTAGCAAATCAATATCAGCTACTGATAAGGACAGAGTAAGACTAGGGATGGGAAGTGACTTCACATGAAGTGATCAGGACTTCACATTAACCGATCTGGTGAGATGAGTCTGAAGCCAAGACTAGGAGGTAGGGCAGAGCCAGGAAAAAGGCTTTAAAGACGAAAACCTTAAAGGTTGGCTCAGAGCAAACCTGTGAACAGATCTGAACCCCTTCCTCTCCTGTGCCGTCCTCATCTTTGACACATTTGAGCCCACTGCTGCAGTCGCTGTGTCAATCATCTCATTGAGGTCCTTCCTCTCTTTCACCAACCCTCCACCATTCAAGAATACTGTCCTTTCCAAGCCTCTCCCCACAACATGCCCTAAGTATGTGAAACAGAGCCTTGCCATCCTTGCCTCCAAGGAGCACTCTGGTTTCACTTTCTCCAGGACATGTGTGTTCTTTTGGCAGTCCATGGGATATTCATAACTCTTTTCCGACACAACCCAAAGGCATCTATTCTCCTGTCATTCATTGTCTGACTCTCAGACACATAGCAGGTGATTGGAAAGGCTATGGGTTGGATTAGGCATATTTTAGTATTTAGCCCGACATCATTGCTCTTTGGCCATTGATTATACTTTTCAAGTTGTGTAGCCGTTCTCACTCTCCTTTCCCAGTTTGCTCTTCTCCTATTGATATGAAACTTATTCCCCTCTAAGCTTCCCTTTCTAGCATTTTGTATTGTTGTTACCCTTTGATCTTAAAACTTTTTTCTAAAGAGCACAAAGCTCATGGCTGACATTCTTTACTAATTAAACTAAATTCTTGGGTTTAGAGGTTTTGGGGGATACTTTTGGTTTATGGTTTCAGGGTTAAAGATTATCTCAGAGCAGTGGTTTCTGGGACTTATGTAGTCTCTGTGGCTCCAGAAAGTCTGGATTCCGTGAGAGTTGACATTCTTTCCTAGGGAATGGTGTGATTTTATTTACTGTTTTTAAAAGGGTGTTCTGACTGGTGTATAGAGAATTTCTTAGAGGAATGTTTTGAGTACAGGTTTAGCAGGTCAGCAGCTTCTTGGGCTAGCAGGTCAATAGCACAGACGAGATGCGCCTTAGTAGGTGCAGTGACGGAAGTGGATGTGGTGGGAGTGGAGGGGGCAGCGCCGGGACCTGCTTCAGGGAGGTGGCACTGGCTGCAGTTTTGAAGTAGAAAATCAGAGAAAAAGGAAATTCAAGGATGTTTTCTAGGTTTTTTTTTGCTTGAGCAGTTGGGTACTAAAAGAGGTAAGAGTTGGAGAAGAGCAGGTTTGGGGACATTTTTAGAATTGTGGGAGATACCATTTAGATACCCCAGTGTTGTTGAATATCACTGAGTCAGAACCGACCCGTGGCTGACCCTGCAGTGGGTTTTCAGAGGCAGTAATCACATGGGAGGAGACTGTCCATCCTTCTCTCGTGAAGCAACTAGTGGATTCAAACTGTGTACCTTTGTGACTGCCGCACAACTTTTTTTTTTTGAGATTTTAATGAAAGTTTATTAAGAACTTGGATTCCATTCATTCATTGTTACATGTTTTCCTCCCTACCCATCGCCCCCCTGCCCTTCCAGTTAGCTTTTCTCTTTAATTCTTTCATATTTGCACAATTTCCTCTCTCTCCAACCCCCCAGTCCATTTTGGCAGCACAGCTTCTTGCCATTAACTCACCAGAGCTCCCTAGAGTCCCCTTGTGGTGTTGTGTACCATAGTCAGAACCAACCGGCAGCTGACCCTCTGGATGGTTTTAAGAGGCAGTAATCGCACAGGATGAGATTGTCCAACCTCCCATGGAGCAGCTGGTGGCCTCAAACTACATGCCTTTGGGATTGCAGCACAGCTTCTTGCCACTAGGCCATGAGAGCTCACGTATCCCACTAAAAATATAAAAACAGAATTATAATTATATGTTGGAGTCCCGGGAAGAGAGCTTATAGGATGTTTGTAAGACAAAGAGACTGTTTCTTAGAATGTGGCCCATCATTGACGTTATCTGGGAGCTTATGAGAAATATAGGATGTCAGGCCCTAGACTCTCTCAGACTGTCCTTTTTAACAAGATCTGCCTATGATTGACATACACA